GGGGCGCGTGTTTGCACGGAACCCTTGGCCCGATTGCTGTGCCCCGAGTCCAAAAAGTTGGTCCCAAGGGAAAAATTCCTTGTCACCACTGCGTTTTGTGAAGGACTCTGGACCAGGGCCAGAGCCCGAGCTGCAGGCTACTTCTGCGATGGCAGGTGCCCACTCTGTGGCGAGCCTGATGGAGCCAGGCACCGCGTCTGGAAATGTCAGCATCACGATGCTGTCCAGGCTCGGCAAGACGCGGCTGTTGATCATCCCGAATGGTTGCTGGAGGCGACCGAGAGCGCGGATCACTGCTTCTGGGACGAGCTCAAGATGGACCATCCAGGGTCGAAGCTCCCTCCGCCCAGCTCCGACCCCAACCCGAAGCTGTTCAACCCCGAGGGGCAGGAAATTGTTTGGGACTCCATTGACCTCCAGGGCCTGGACATTTGTATGGACGGTTCTTGTGCTCGTCATGTTGTGAGGGATTTGTCTCGGGCCGCCTTCGCTAGGGTCTTCTTGGACCCGTCAGGGTCGATTGTTGCTTATGTTCAAGGAACGGTGCTGGACGTGCTCCAGCAGACCCCGCAGGCGGCTGAGCACCAAGCCATGGCGCTGGTGCCTCTGTTTGTTGAACACAGCGGGGATCGTTATTCTGATTGTGCCACCGCCACTAAGTTGTGTAACACGCCAGTGCAGCATCAGATCTCGAGAAAACACCGCGACGCGGGAATGCGCCGTGGGGTTTCTCTGCATGAGAAACGGGGCCATGAGTGCAAGGTTATTCACGCGCCAGCCCACCGCTCTCAAGCGGTTATCGATAGTCTCCCAGGGCCTGAGAGAAGGACCGCTATAGGTAACCAGGCTGCGGATGCTTTAGCCAAGCAAGCTCTCCTCCTCCACCCTCAGGCCTCTCCTGCGGTGTACCAAGAAGTTAGCGATGATCTTGATAAATTAGTGTTCGCGGCCCAGGTCGTGGCCAAAGTTTTGTGCGTTTTCCCCGTCGAGACATTCGAGCGGCCCCAGTCTGGACCGAGATGTAAAGTTTTACGGACTGGAGGCTGGCACCACTGGGAAAATCTCGATGGGGGCCGTGCCAGGTGTTTGCGATGCCTTCAGTTTAGTAGTGACCCTGACAGCCGGCCTGAACTGGGCTGCCGAGGGCCGAATCGTACTTGGAAGGAGGTTTGGGATTTCACCAAGGGCCACACCCTTGCGCACACGTTCGTCACGCGCAAGCAGAAAGTATCTAGCATGATGTTTTGCACCACGTGCGGGGCGCACACGTCCCGCCGATGCTTCAAGCTTTGTCAAGAATGTATCGGCAAGAAGCTTCCAGGGGCTAAGACGACCCTCCCTAGGATCATGGTTGGCCTCCACCCTCACTATAGGAACGAGGATGATCGTGTTTCGTCCACTTCTCGAAGAGGAGTGAACTATCTTTGTTATGCTGCCACCACTCCGCCTCCCCCAGAGGTCTCTCGGCCTGCCTTCGGGATGGAGGGACTGGCGCAGACGCCTGGGATGCCAGCGGTTCTGGCGCGCATCCAGGCACGTGAAATGGCGCGCGGGAGAACCCCACAGGCGCCAGACAGAGACGGATGGTTCAGATTGATTTTCTGTGGCGCAGGGCCGCCCTTCAGTTGTCGTTTGATTGCGCGGCCCGATGCGACTGACCCTTTTGGCAGGCATCCGTGCTAAACCCCACATCTGGGGCGAGTCTGGCTGCCGTCCTGGCGCTGTTTGTACCAGGGGTTTCTGGCCTCGTCGTCCTTTTGTGGGTGGTCGATTCTTCCCAGTGGCGAGGGTTCGCCGTCTCGTTCTGTTCTAGCACGGCCCGATGCGGCTGACCCTTTTGGCAGGCATCCGCGCTCTACCCCACATCTGGGGCGAGTCCGACGGTCGTCCTGGCGCTTGCTGCACCAGGGACTGTGGGCTCGTCGTCCTTTTGTGGGTGGTCGAATCTTTTTCTTTGATTTGGTTGTGTGCGGTCTCGTTGTGCGTGCGCCCGTCGTGCACGCGTGTCAGGCACCCCACTTCTGGGGGAAGGAGCATGCACACCTAGGGTGCGCGTCTTCTTGTCCGAGCACGGGGGTGACTTCATCCTGACTGTGGCTCGTCTGATGTTGCTGAGGCCCTTGAGCTGTGGTTCTGGGCCCCAACATCTCTTTTTGTTCGCGTTGGGCGCGCGTCATCGTGCAGGCTGCCTCCGTTCGGCCCGCTGCCGAGGGCGTAGCCTTACGCCAGATCCACTCGGCCATCGCCCCATCTGCGGACGAGGCCCGTCTCGCTAGGCCGACGGATGTGGACTCTGGGTCTGTTTGTGAGGACTGTGCTTGACCTAACAAGTTGGTCAGCCATGCGCGGTCTTGTTTGTCGCACATCTTGTGCGCATGTCGGCTAACTGTCGCCGCCCTCGGTCCTGCCCACTGGCTCGCAGAGGAAAAAATCCTCCTCCCCCTGCTCCTCCTCCTCCTCCATCTCCTCCTCTTCCCCCTCCTCCTCCTCCCTTGGCCTCGTCCTCGTTCCTCCCCCTCCTCCTCCTCCTCCTCCTCCTCCTCCTCCTCCTCCTCCTCCTCCTCCTCCTCCCCCTCCTCCTCCTCCGCCTCCCCCTCCCCCTCCTTCCTTGGCCTCGTCCTCGTTCCTCCTCCTCCTCCTCCTCTTCCTCCTCCTCATCCTCCTCATCCTCCCTCTTCTCTTCCTCCTTCTCCTCCTCCTCCTCTTCCTCCTCCTCTCCTCGTCCTCCTCCTCCTTCTACCTCCCTTCCTTCGCCTCCTCCTCCTCCTCTTTCTCCTCCTCTTTCTCTTTCTCCTCCTCCTCTTCCTCCTCCTCCTCATCCCTTGGCCTCGTTCTCGTTTCATTTCCTCCTCCTCCTCCTCCTCCTCCTCCTCCTCCTCCTCCTCCTCCTCCTCCTCCTCCTCCTCCTCCTCCTCCTCCTGGGGCCCGCTTGGGAGCCTCTTAGGGCCCTCTTGGAGCCTCTTAGCCCTCTTCGCCGTATTGGGGCCCTCTTGGGCCGTCTGGGGGCCGTCTTGGGCTGTTTGGGGCCCCTTTGAGGTGCTTCTGGGGCCGTTTTAGGACGATATTTGGGGCCGTCTTGGGCCCGTCTGGGGGCCTTCTTGGACCGTTTTGGGTCTCTTTGGGGCGCCTCTGGGGCCGTCTTTGGACGATCTTTGGGGCCTCTTGGGCTGTCTGGGGCCCTTCTGGGACTGACAAGGGGAGAACCCGAAAAAAACATGCAAAAGCCATGGGGAAAATAATGTTTGTGTCCTCCTGAGGCCCTCTGGGAGGCCCTCTGGAAAGCCTCTGCAGCCGTCTCGAGACTCTCTTGGACCGTATGGAGGCCATCTGAAGTTCTCTTGGGGCTGTCTTGGGGCCCTGTGGGGCTGTTTGGGAGCCTTCTTGGTCCGTCTTGGGGCCCTCTGGCCGCGTGATTCGAAACAAAATACGAAGAAACGGGCCACAGGAGCCGCCCAGGAGCCTCTTCATTCGAAACAATACGAGGGAAACGGGCCATTACATCCGGTCGGCTGGGCCTCGCCCTTCCTCTGCACTCTGCCTTAGAGGGCTTCGCCCCAACTCAACGTACATCACTCGTACCTCGCTCTTTCTGTCACCTCGGGAGCGGGGCTGCCTTGGACTCGGACGGGGTCATAACTGGGTACGTCAGGCCCCCATCCAGGAACCCAGGACGCGACCGTTTAGGTTGCCACAGGGCTCCTCAACACCGATCGGCCGATGTCACCCTCGGGAGGCGACCACCTCTACCTCCGTCGTATTCCGCACAAGCTTCGCCGGCATCCCATGAGGACCGAAGTGCGGGAAACGTTTTCCGATCACTTGAAGACCGAGCTAGGTTTGCCCCCCCCCGTGGGGAGGACAAACCGTGCCTCCCCTGAGAACGCCATTGGGGCTTGAATTCGGTTCGGTGCGTTCTGGCGGCACCACTGTTGACAACATGGGGCTCAGAGTCACACTCATTGTTGTCACACATCATTATCGGGTATTTCGTCGTCCCCTCATGCTGGGACGTCTGCTCCACAAGCGTTGACCCGCCTGTCACGGGGCTACGAGGCAGAGGTGGCTGCCACAGGGTATGCGCTGCACGCATAGCACCCAGCAGTACCGGGCGCTGACCTCGGAACCACGTCTTGGCCGCCGTGGCTGGCAGACCTCGGGAGTGTGGCTGCCCTGGGCCCGGACGAGTTCAGAATTGGGTGCGTCCACTATCCTAGGAGGCCCCCATCCAGGGACCCAGGACGCGACCGTTTGGGTTGCCACAGGCTCCGCCGGCATCCCGTGAGGACCGAAGTGCGGGAAACGCTTTCCGGTCTTGTGAAGATCGAGCTATGTTTGCACCCCCCGTGGGGTGGACAAATCGTGCCCCCTTTGGGAATGCACAGTTTGGTGTTTGCATTCGGATTGCTGCATTCTGTCGGCACTGATGTTGACACAACATGGGGCTAATATTTACACACAAGCACTGCTGTCACACATCATGCTGAGGTCCAACTTTCGTCGTCCCCTCACGATGGGACGACTGACCCACATGTGTTGACCCCCTGCTCACGGTCCTACGAGGCAGAGGTGGTTGCAACTGGATCTGCGCTACACGCATGTCATTCACCATTAGGTGACAACATCGAGCACCTAATTCAAGGGTGGGACAGCCCAAGTGCCCCATCCGATTCAAAAGGGTTATGCCTGCCCTTCAACACTACACTGCAATCCTCCTTGCTCCTCCTCCTCCTCCTCCTCCTGTTTCTCCTCCTCCAATTCCTCCTCCTCCTCCTCCTCCTCCTCCTCCTCCTCTTCCTCTTCCTCCTCCTCCTCCTCCTCTCCTCCTCCTCCTCCTCCTCCTCCTCCTCCTTCCTCCTCCTCCTCCTCCTCCTCCTCCTCCTCCTCCTCCTCCTCCTCCTCCTCCTCCTCCCCCCTCGATCCTCGATCCTCCTCTCCCCCTGTCGTGCTCTTCGGCGCCCTCCTCCGCGCCGCGCCGCCTGCCGCGCCCCGCCCGCCCCCAGCAGCGGGAAGCGCCGCCGCGGCCGCCGGCGCGAGCGGAGAGGCAGGCGGAGGAGGAGCCCGCGCCCGGGCGCCTTCTCTCGCGGGTCGCAGAGACGACGACAGGGGCGAATATTGGGCGCGAAGTAATTGGGGGCGATAAATAAATGGTGGGGAAAGGTGTCCTTTTCGGGCACTGAAGGCCGCCTTTCTGGACCCTCAAGAGCCCCTTGCTGGTGCGCGAAAGGGCCCCTTTTCGGCATCCCTCGCTGCCCCCCATGTGTCGCTGCCCCCCACATACCCCCACGCTGCCCTCGCTGCCCCCCACGTACCGCGGCCCAAGAATAGCCAGGCCCGATCCGATCCGCCTCCCTCGCTCCCAGCGTGTCGCCCCCCCATCCCACAGATCCGATGTCGTGATTTGTTCAACACGGGGTCCCTGGAAGCCTCGACCCACTCCCCAGCACCAGTTTTTCATCCTCAGTCGTTTTTTGACGGTCCCGAGGCCCGGCGAAGGCCCCCAGAGACCGAAAGTTGCGAAAAACCTCAGTCGTGATTTTTTCAATGCGTTGGATATCTGGGATTGCTGCTGCTGGTCCGCGGCGACGGCTGTCGCTGTCGCGCGCTCTCGCGGCCGGCGTGTGCCGCGCCGCGCCACGGGCACGCAAAAGCCTGCCCGGCTGTTGGTGCGCGGCGGCCGGCGGCTGGCGCGCTCGAGTCCCCGGCGGGCCGCGCCACGCTGTGGGCACACCGAGGCGGACTGAGAGGAGGGCGGCCGCGGAGGGTCAGTATCGTTTAGCCGATCCCCATCCCCACGCCCAT